TTCACTCTGTTTGGAATTCGCAAACTAGTCAAGCACTGTACTTTCCTCTAGGGCATGGTCTACTCGAACGTCATATACCTTTCATAGGCTTGAGCCGCATTCTAGGCCTTGCGGTAGAAGAAATACTTCAGAGGTCGAAAGTGCGCGCAGTGGTTCTCCATATTCATACGAGTCCTGTACAGAAAAACTTCGCCAAATGTTGACAGAATTCCAAGAGGAATATAAAGGAGGACCTACTCTTTCAGAAAATATATAACTTTATTAGGTTGGGTCCTTGATCTTTTGTACAACGGTTGATGGATCCGGGGTGTCAAAAATCGGCGGAAACTTTTCGGACAACCCAATAGAAACCCATCAAGCATGATAGTGTGCAACCTTTATAGATACAGGTAATTGGTGTTTCGAATTTGTTGAGTTCTTATGGTTAAATGTCTTCGTAGTATATCCTAAGATAATACATTCTTAGTCGGATTAACTCTCATGAGTGGTCGAGCAAAAACGCGAATTGAAAGTGCAGTTTCCAGAATCGCACCTCGAAATACTAGTGATTTTTAGGAATCATTTCAAAAAGCCAAGAATTGGGTGAAGGAACTCCAGCGACAAGCATCTCCAAATATAGTAATGGCTCTAGCGGGTAACAAGGCTGATATGGCCAATAGGGTTTGTCTATTTCACTTTTTTTTGAATTATTCTTTGTTTTCTTATCTTGTGATAGTGATAAGCCTCTTCTCTCATTTTATGTTTGAGTATTCTTTTGAGCAGTATTACCCAATGCTCTGCGGTTCGTTTATTTTGAAATGGTTGATGTTGGTAGAGTAAAAGTTTTTCGGCATTCTGAAAGCATTCATGGCAGTATGTATCAGTGCATGGTCACTGGGTAATTTTTAGAACCCGGTTTTTTCAGCAGTTTTTTCATACTGCATACTGGGTTTCCTCCCTTCTTTATTTTATGAGGGTAATTGAAATTTTTTTCATTTATTCAATAAGGGGCACGCTGTAAGCTTGTAAAATAAATAAGGAAAATCACATGAATGACTATCGAAGAAAGAAAAGTTAATAACAGGCAGCAACATCCTTGAAATAAACATAGCTGAGTCAAATCAACTTGCCATTAAATTTCTTAAAAGTCCAATGGGCTGAGGGTGGACTACGACGTAAAAGTGAATTAGAGCTCGATCGTACTGTATTACTGAGGAACTGCAACTTTTTATATTTTGGGGATCGTGCTGCCGCAGTTGAAAACTTGTTTACTGGGCTGGACTTATTTATTCAGTTGATTAGATCGACCAAAAACAATTGCGATAAAGTGATGGGATCAGGCGAGCGTAGGTGGGTACGTAGGCGTTTTCATGTCGGTTACAAGGTATCAGAATGCAAAAGGGTACCGAGCTTCAAAACCCGCATGGGAAGTTCACATTCAGATGCACGAAAAGTAATGGGTGCTCAAACAGTCTAGCGGTTGTCTAACAGATATAAAACGGGGGAAAGGTGAGGAGGCTAGGTAGGGGGTTCACGCAACTTAGCGCATCTCTCACTGCTCCGTGTTTTTCTTATTTTTTTTTACGAATCGTCTTTTTGACTGTGGTTTCTTTGATGTGCGGACATTTAGTTGCCTCTGTGCCCGACATTCTCTTCCTTTTGATTATTGAATTCTCGAGCTTTATCGCTATTATACCTAGAATTTTTTTCATTTTTTCAAAGTCCGTTTTTTAACCCTGACCATTGAATTTTAGAGAACAGTTGAATACGAGGAAGCTCAAGCCTACGCTGAAGATAACGCACTTCTTTTTATGGAAACTTCTGCGAAGGTTTGCTTTTGGTCGTATTTCTCATTGCGATTGAAGTCTTGCATCAAGTGCTGCGTTCCCTGATCTCTGTTCATTTGCTTCCTTTAGACGTCGATGAATGTGAACGACATCTTCATGGCGATTGCTAAAAAATTACCAATAGGTCCACCAGCAGGTGAGCCAAGTGGCACAGTGGATATGAACCAACCACAACAGGCACAGAAGGGTAATTGCTGCAAGTAAGGTGGTGTCCCGTGAATGAGGTGCAACACACTCGCTTCTTCACTGCCGACATACGTACAGGACCCACTCCACTTCGCTATCCGTTTTGGTTTTCGTGTAATTCAACACGTTCCCAGTCGGTCAAGCTCCTTGTCATATCCACTGTGTGTTTGTCGTTGGCGTTGAATGTGAGCTGTGTTATGAAAATGTGTCAGTTTGAAATTCCCCCATTTTTCGGGCCCATTTTTATTCCTTTTTATAATTGCTTAAATACGAAAGTGTATATGTTTATTTTTTGACGATGAACGCCTTTTCTATTCACCGTCTAGTGCTCTATGCGTCCGTTTTCCGTCATTCTTACCGATTTTATTATCCGGCGATTTTTCTGTACACACAATCCTTTTTGTCTTCAACTTTCCGCGAAGACAAAAGATTTTTTCTGAGCAACGGTTTATTGAGAATCTACTTCTAGTTTTTTCTCATTTATTAGCTTCACTTGTCGTCGATTTCCTTATTAAGTTTGTCACGCTGTAGTCTCATCCTAAGTCCATGTTTAAACCGCAAAAACTGCTGTACGCTGTATGTTTCAATTCTCCGTCAGTGGTGTTTGGTCGTCATTTTGTGAAGTATTTCTGCATGTCTTACAGTGATAAAGCTATTTTAAACTTACTCCTGTGACTTTTGCGATTATAATGGTAAGCCCTTCTTGCATTTTTATGAACTTTTCCTTGTTATTATCACTATGTTCCTTCAGATAATCTCGAATAGGTAAGAGCGTTCCTTTTCTTTTTGGAAGCGTCACATTTCTCTCGTTACGGAATCTAAATACCTAATGATAAAGTCTAAAATCAGTGCTCAGAGTAAAACTATCTGGGATTTACACGGAAAGAAGCCCTGAGAGAGGAAGGGGGGGGGGGTAGCCTCACAATGGCCAACAATTGCTATTATTGGCAGTCGTGAATAAGAGTGCTTCCCTCCTTCATCTTATATGCTAAGGATGGAAAGGTGGGGAGATTCAATGTAAGCGTTAAATTATTCGGTCATTACGTTTACCATATTAGCAGGTTACTTATTTATTTATTGGTTAAGAAATTTTTCAATTATGGCGTTTAATTCGATCCCTTGAGCAGTTGTAAGCAATTTGGCTAGGCTTCCCTTGAAAAGGATAAGGCTTTCAGCTTTCAGCTTCCGCTTGATTCCCGTTCGGAATCTTAGTTAGGCTTTCGTTAAACGCGGGAACTGCGAAAGGACTTCAGAAAGTGAGGTGATGCACAAGTTTGTTCTTCAACCCTTTCAGGCTGGTCTGATACCGACCTGCCGTTCTCGGAATAGTGGAACCTGGACTGGGTTGAAGGTCTGATTAGTGCACTTTCAGGCTGGTCTGATACCGACCTGCCGTTCTCGGAATAGTGGAACCTGGACTGGGTTGAAGGTCTGATTAGTGCATACCCTTTCATCCTTCATTTTCTACCCACATTCCCCCTCCAATGCACTATTCTCAACTGGTGCATTGATCTTTTGGAAATGAAGTTGTGTCGGTTGGCAATTGTAACAGAAGGGATACACTCTGTAGTGGACCAGTGGGGTGAAGGCGACCAGTGGGGTGAAGGCGAGGGTTTGCCTATTTATTAGCCTTTCTGTAGACCGCGACCGCGATTGTGGAGAGCTCAGTTGTGACGTTCATAGTAGCAGCACGACGACAACACTTGAGTCCATTGAATGTTTGCAGTGGTACTTTGGCTCTGTTATTGATCCTCACGATGCCAGTCATATTTCTATGCGACGAGGTTAACGTCTGGCGTTTACACGGATTGATGAGCACGCTCTCCTTTGAGAATTCGGATATCTTCAGAAAAGACGCCTTGACGCCCACGGCATTCGCAGTCACTTGAGCGTAGTATCCGGGAAGTAGATGAGTCAACTCGTACTATCTGAATAATATAAAGGTTGGGAACAGAACGCAAACAGGATTACTGACCGTGTTATTCCTGTGTCGCTAATCGGCATAGAGACAGTGGTCTAACTAGAGGGCAGAAAAATGAAGTGTCTAGTGTTTATCATTCAATTAAAAGAGGCGTCTCCCCATCCCCTAAATCCAAAACAACGTTGCCTTGCTAAGCCAGGGCCGAATAAATTTCAATTAAAAGAGGCGTCTCCCCATCCCCTAAATCCAAAACAACGTTGCCTTGCTAAGCCAGGGCCGAATAAATTATGCCAGCAGTTTGTTGCTGTACCCTCCTGCGTTAAATATGCTAGTTATTTTCCCTCAGGGTTCTCCCTGCTGAATGTGGCTAATTTATGGACTTACAAGACACGTGGGCCATTTCTAATATTTTATCTGACCGACTACTGCTGGCAGCCGGTTTTCCATTTCCTACTTCAATAATGATATTGCTTGATTGTGCAGATGGTGTAGTGTCACCCTGCGTATTCTTTCACACTCATGGTCCCAGGTCGAATCCATGCTCGACCAGGCCAGGCAAGTCTCCATCGTGCCGGAGTCGATTAATTGGTACCAGACTTTCTGGGAGGATAGAAGGACTGACATGAATATTGGCTGGCCACAACAAGTCATTGTATGGGTGATACGTATTCAATATGGCACTAAGATTGCAGGGACGTGTCCCAAAACAGGATTGATCAACATCGATCCCTTTTTCCTCTATCTTTCCAGATTGTAGGTAGTATTGAAAGCATTTAAGATATTCCCGAGGTAAACAGTCATTATGGGTATATAAGTAATGTCACCAGCGGATATGGTTGTGATCGGTTAGTTGAATAGCTTCAGATTCTTTTTTTTGTAGGTTGTAAGGACGATTAGCTCTAAATGGTGAATCACCAAGCAAAGAGATTGTTTCCACAGATGTTAAATAGAGTTTCGTAAGCTGCGTTCCATGGTTCAGATCTGTTGTGAATGCGCTGAACTGAGTAAACACCTGTCGAGCTGTTGTTCGCCGTTTGAAGTGTTCACAGTTAGGGTGAATAAATGAATACAAATTAGTCTCATCGTTATCGTTGTGAACTTCTGCGATCTCTACTGATCGTTTTTTTTAGATTAATAGCTGTGAATGCAGCTCTAAAGCTGCTTCTGTCGGTATCATCCAAAGCCCTAGGCGTTAATCGATCAGGTATTTGGGAAGCGCCCCGCATTCGACTTCCATTCTAATTGTAGTGGCGTATTTAATGCATATTTGGCCGATACAATGACTTGAGGTGGCTATAGAATGTTCAAAGTTTTTATCCTCCCATACAAGTCTGGTACAGAATAACCAACTGGAGATGGAAGACTTGCTAAGCTTGAGCACATATCGATCGGGGATCCGATCCT